CGCCTTTTCCCCCAGCAAACTCATCAATATCACAATGCCTCAGGGACCGCTGCTGGAGCCCCCAGGGTGCAATGCCCATCTTGCAGCGCCTCCTTCCTGTGGTGAGCCCTGCACTTTTTGTTTTTGTATGTTTTACATACAAATCAACCCTCACCACTCCTTGCACGACTCTCACGGTTTAGCTATTTGCATAAACAAATGACTATCAAATAGTGTTGCAACCAAAGAACAAAATCTAATGTAACCGATTCACTTTATTATAATAATCACACAACTAAGCTCTAAGCCCACAAGGATCCACTTTATAAAACAGGAGCTTTGATGAGGGGAATTGGAGTAACGTAACGTGTATCTTTTGTTTACTGGACGGCTGATCGAACATTATCCGCTTCTTTAGCGCTTCCCATAAACTGTTAATATATATCTTTGTTGGTGGTGGTGAGGTGATGTATGATTAATACTGGTCTTAAGTTTAATGGTGTAACAATCAGTGTTGATTGTAGATTAGTGGTGGGGGCGCCAGAAAGTTACCAGAGAATCACAATTGTTGCATTCTCCGCCATTGAAGGGCTCTTGATCCGGGGAACTGGCGATGCCATGCTTTTCCTTGGATCTAATTGGATTTCCAACCATTCCCCCAAGTGTTGTGTGAAGTGCTGTTTTAGCGCTTCTCCATGAATTTAACAATTTTAAGTTATCGATATGGGTGACAATAGCATTTGCCTCCAAGTTGTATAGCACATTATACTATGTTAATAGCATTAATTATGTAGATGGAAACATCCAGCTAGCGCGAGTGTCAACATTGCTTATACAGTTGTAAACATCTAGTTAACATGAGTGTCCCTTAAAACGTTAAATTGGCGGGAGTTGTTCAAAGCAAGGGGTGAAGGAGGTTCTATCCTCCGTCCTCTAATCGTAGCCCGGTCTCAGAAGAGAATAGTTGTAATAAAACAAAATGGTTTAAAGACACGTTTGCGAATATTAGAAAATTAAAAAGCGTTTCTCTTCTGACGCTTTAATCACTTCTAACAGAGAGGTAGGTTTGTCAGGTAACAGGACAAGTGTTTCCTGACGTGGATCTTAGTCGACCTGCAGCTGGAACTTTTGGTCATCTGACTGAGGCCTTTCACTGGCTTACCGGTCCACTCCCTTAAAAATTAGTTATTCCAGAGTGACTAAAATGACAATATATACAGGCGGAGTGTGGGGTGTGATTCTAATTAGTAGTTTTTTCAGTTTTTTTTCTCTTGTTAGCATACCACTAAGTAAAACAGTGACATACTGTACATGTTAGCTGACCTTCACCAATACCACTAAGCAGAAGCGGGAACTGTCATGTACATGTTACCTTAACAGTTAAGCATCAGTTTTATTGCAGATTTTGGGCATTCTGTCCAACCCTACTCTTGAATTTATTTTTTAGAAAATTCTCGGGGAATAAAGTAAAATCTCTCAAACCAGTATATGTTAAAAAAAAAAATTCTTGATATATACAAAATCAAACAGGAATTCAGAGATGAAGATATACTTATTAATATTTTAACACCATACCCAAACGAATCATTTTGGGAGAAAAAAATCTTCAAATAATTTTATTAAAGCAAAAAATTATATTTATAAAATTTTAGTAATCTGAAACTTTGTCTTTAATGAGAGGTAAAGTTAGTGTTGTGATCTTCAATTCTTATTCTGTAATGAAAGTAACGTGAATATTTGAAAGTTGTCTGAGTTTTTCTTTTGACATGAATTCAGTGAGTCCAGTAAACAGTATTACTATCGACACAGCTTAAAGTATCTCTACGTACTGTAGTTTGTTAAAATGAATAAAGAAAATAGTTTTTTTTTTAAGCGAAGGAGCATCGAAGAACGGGTAATCAATTAATTGCATGTTATTTTAGGTCGTGGGAAGTGAAAAAGTTTACTCCGCCGAGTCAGATATTTGTTCTGGATGACTTTACGTGTCCCCAAGGTTGACTTCTTATGTTTCTTGTTTAGAGAGACTTTAAAAATACAATGTGTATATATGAAGGACAATGAAGCATAGTTTTCCCAGGACTATCCTCACATTTTGAATTTATGTACTACTTGTGATTAAAAAAATTATTCAGATTTTTATTTTAAATTAAAGCAGTAAAGTTTATTCACTACGTTTCATAATCATGTAGAAGTTTATTGCCACATTTTGAGATTTGCAAGATTTGCATAAGGGACGCAAACGGATCAGTGGTCGGGATAAAGTTTATGTATGTGGATTGCGTTTGTATACATTATTCATGGAATCTGAATCGCATTTACATACTTGCAAGCGTGTTATCAAAACATATGACTGTGTACTAAAGTGCCTAGAGAAAACTGATATACAGTACACTAACAGTAGGATTTGTGTATATTTATGTAAAGTGCTAAATCCGTGAGTTATTAAATACGGGAGTGGGGGAAAACCTTTACTTTCTACTTACAAACCGCAGTTGTCTTCCCCCTGCAGGGTTGCTGCTACTTCTCCCCGGCCCCGTAGTGGTGACACAGGTTATTCGGGCAGGTCTTCCAAGCGTTCGTCCCCAACTTTTCGGGAAACCCTCGCTCGCAGCGTTTCTGGGGGAAAATTCCCCAAAAGGGGGATGCGCCCCAGGACGCCTCTTGCCGTGGAGGTCCCGTACACGGGGTGGAGGGGGAAAGGCTACGATATCACAATTTCCAAGAGTAGAGATCCGTCTCCCTCCGGGTTCTCGAGGCTAGCTTAAGGGGGGGAAAACCTTCAAATACAGAGATTCCCCTTCGCCCTTATCCTTCAATGTAAAATTTTCCTACAGCGCCAGACCCCCCAGGTTGAGCTTCATCTCGTACCCCAAAGTGAAGCCCTGGGCCCCAGCTTCACCTCCCTCCAATTTCATCTCTCCCCCCCAGTCATTCTCAGCCCCCCCAGATGCACCCTTTTCACTCAAAAACCCCTTCCCCCTCAGTCTTATGATTCCAGGGACTCCGCAAAAATCTTCATCCCCAATTTTCCAACCAGTCACTCATCCTCACTCCTACCACAGATCACCCTCACGTCACAAGTTCACACTGCCCACCCCTAAAACTGAAATCTCACCCAATCCAGGGGTCCCAACTCTCGCGGGTGATCAGGGTCACCCTTTCCCCCCAAGGGGCCCCCTTTTCCCCCCCTTTCTCTCACTGGGAAGTACAGTGCCGGTCTCTCCGAGAAATTTCCCCCGGGGTCGTTCCTCCCCTTTGAGGCATACTGGCACTCCCCCACACTTCCTGGCATCCTGCATACCTCAGCTCGCTCAGGTAATGCCAGCCATCCACACATGCCACCTCCCCAAAACTACTCTTCGCTTTCAAAATTTCATACCAAAAAAAATCCAATATCAACTCACTGTTATACCTCCACCCCAAACCCCACCTTACAACCCGAGTATGCCCCCCCCCCCCCCCCCCCTACGCACATTTTCATATGACCACACCCCCTAACAAAATACCAGCAAAACCCCAACTCACCCTTTTAAAGGTAAAACCCTCGTCTGGCACTCAGGTTTATTCACCTGCTGCAGAGGAATTTCTCTCAGCATTTCCCCCCAATCGAAACCACACCTTTTCCCCAAACCCCTGAGGAAGTTCCCCAGGGAGGGCCATCCTTAGAGCCACCGCACATCACCAGACACAACAACCATCCCAGCTATCCCCCCACCTCACATGGAAGCAACCCACAACACACCCGTAACTCCCCCTGAAAGTGCTTCAATAAAAATTTTTCCAACTTTTTTGGGGTCTGGTTGTTTATTAATCCAATATGGGAAAGAAATTTGTATTTCAAGAGTTTAAAACTTCTTTAAAGTCTCTGGAACAGTAATGGAAGGTGTATGAATGTTACAGAGCACCCAAATGAAAAAATATGTAATGAATTTTGGGCAGACTTTAAAAAATCCAATATAAACTAATTTTTTTTAAGGTGCAATGGTGGAAAACCAGCGTTGCACCTTTAATTTATTCGTACTCAATAAATATCGGGGTTTTAACAAATTTTGTTTGCATATGTAGTCCCTTTCCCAAAAGGTGAAAACATATCGCTAATAGCAACACTTCTTGGGAAAAAATAAAGGGAACAACCGAAAAAAATTTTGGGGATGCAATATCGCTTTAAAAACCTTTTGAAACTAAAAGAAAAAAAAAAAATTTCATTGCATTTGCTTTTTTAAATTTTTGAAACTTACCTAAAATTTTAAATTTTGTTGGATTAAGCTAAAATTTAAAATTTCGCTTGTAAAAATAGGGAAGTTTTTTAAAGGGTTTTTTGATACAAATTTATTAATTCTTACATAAAGATATACGTTTAATATAAATGAAAAATAGAGAAAATTTCAGGAAAGGGCCTTTAATTTTAAAAAGGGTTTTTGTACTTTACCCCCTTTTTAAAACCCATAAGCCTCTCCCCCCCCACCAAAAACTTTCAAAAGTAGCAATAACCAAAATTTGAAATAGCCCGGCTCGAACCCAAAGCCCGCTTTTTACCTGCCTATGGTGGGCGAAAAATCATGAAAGCCCTTTAAACCACTGGACCACACAATGGCGTCATGAAAATTTTTGCCCACCACCCAGACAGGCCAAAGCAGCATGGGGGCGAGTTTGGCTAGTCGGGAGTGTTATTGATTTAATACCCCCTCGTTCTTGGGGACAATTTAAAATAAAATGTGTTTTGCATATATAATTGAGATTATTTATATATAAATTTTTGCTACCTTTGTATGTATGTGTGTGGGGGGGGAGAGGTCGTATAGGTAAAATTGGTAAAGTAGCAAGAACTCGTTTAAAATTAGGTCCTTCCTGAAATTTTCTCTATTTTTTCATTTATATTAAACGTATATCTTTACTGTAAGAATTAATAAATTTGTATCAAAAAAACCTTAGAAAACTTACCTATTATTACAAGCGCAATTTAATTTAGCTTAATCCAACTAAATATATTTTAGGTAAGTTTACAATAATTTAATAAGCAAATGCAATGAAATATTTTTTTTTTCGTTAGATTCAGAAGGATTTTAGCGATATTGCATACACAATTTTTCGGTTGCTTGCCTTATTCTGCAAGAAGTGTTGCTATTTAAGCAGATATCGCTTTCACCTATTCGGCAAGACTACATATGCATACATATTTGTTACATCCCCGATAGTTATTGACGTACGAATCATTATAGGTGCAACGCTGGATCTTCAGCCATTGCACCTTAAAAGACATCTAGTTTATATTGGATATTATAGTCTGCCCGAAATCATTACGATATTTGTCACTTGGGTGCTCTGTAACATTCATACACCTTCCATTACTGTTCCAGAGACATTAAGAAGTTTTAAACTCTTGTAATACGATTTTCTTTGCATATTGGATTAATAAACAACCAGACTACCAAAAAGTTGGATAAAGTTTTATTGAAGCACTTTCAGGTGAGTTACAGTGTGTTGTAGGTGCTTCCATGTGAGGGTGAGGGGATAGCTGGGATGGTTGTTGTGTCTGGTGATGTGACGGTGGCTCTAGAGGATGGTCTCCCTGGGGAACTTCCTCGAGTGGTTGGTGAAGGTGTGGATTCGAGTGTGGCGGGAAATGCTGAGAGTATTCCTCTGCAGCAGGTGAATGAACCTGAGATGCCAGACGAGAGAGTGTACCTGTGAAAGGGTGAGTTGTGTGTTGCTGTGTAGTTGTTAGTGGGTGTGTGGTCATATGAGAATGTGCAGTAGCGTGAGGGAGCATACTCGTGTGTAAGTGTGGGGCTGTGTGTGGAGGTATAACAGTGAGTTGATATGTGGATGTGTGTGGATATGTATCTGTATGCGAGAGAGTAGTTTTGTGGAGTGTGGCAGTGTGTGGATGGCTGGCATTACCTGAGCGAGCTGAGGTATGCAGGATGCCAGGAGAGTGTGGTGGAGTGCCAGTATGCCTCACAGGCGAGGAGCGACCCGGGGAATTGCTACGGAGAGACGCGGCACTGTACTTCCGAGTGAGAGTTGAGGAATGTCGTTGGGGAGAAGTGTGACCGTGATCTCCAGCGAGAGATTGGGACGCTGGATCTGGGTGAGATGCAGTTTTAGGGGTGGTGACAGTGTGAACTTGTGACGTGAGGGTGATCTGTGGTATGGAGTGAGGATGAGTGACTGTGTGAACTTGGGGATGAAGATGTTGCGGAGTCGTGGAATCATAAGACTGAGGTGAGAGGTGTTGTTGATGTGAAGGATGCATCTGGGGTGCTGAGAATGACTGGGGTGAGAGATGAACTTGAGAGGCAGGCTGAAGCTGGGGCTCCAGGGCTTCACTTTGGGGTACGAGATGAAGCTCAACCTGGGGCTCTGGCTGCTGTAGGACTTCACATTGAAGGGATAAGGGCGAAGGGGAATCTCTGTATTTGAAGGTGTCGCCCCTTAAGCTGAGCCTCGAGAACCTGGAGGGAGACTGGATCTCTACTCTTGGAGTTGTGATATCGTCAGCCTCCACCTCCACCACGTGTACGGGACCTCCACGGCAAGAGGCGCTCCTGGGGCGCATCCCTCTTGGAGAATTGCCTCCAGGAGCGCTGCGAGTCGAGGACTTCCTGAAAAGTGGAGACGAACGCTTGGAAGACCTGCCTGAAGTAACCTGTGTCACCACTACGGGGCCCGGGGAGAATGTAGTCAGCAACTCTGCAGAGGAAGACAACTGCGGTTAGTAGAGTAGAAAGTAAAGTTCCTCCACTCCATGTATTGAATAACTCACGGATTTAGCACTTTACATAAATATACACAAATCCTACTGTTAGTGTACTGTATATCTGTTTCTCTAGGCACTTTAGTACACAGTCATATGATTGATAACACGCTTGCAAGTATGTAAATGTCGATTCAGATTCACATGAATAATGTATACAAACGCAATCACACATACATAAACTTTATCCCGACCACTGATCCGTTTGCGTGCCTTATGCAAATCTTGCAAATCTCAAAAATGTGGCAATAAACTTCTACATGATTATGAAACGTAGTGAATAAACTTTACTGCTTTAATTTAAAAATAAAATCTGAATAATTTTCTAATCACAAGTAGTACATAAATTCAAAATGTGAGGATAGTCCTGGAAGACTATGCTTCATTGTCCTTCATATATACACATTGTATTTTAACGTCTCTCTAACAAGAAACATAAGAAGTCAACCTTGGAGACACGTAAAGTCAGTCCAAGAACAAATATCTGACTCGGCGGAGTAAACTTCTCACTTCCCACGACCCTAAAATAACATGCAATTAATTGATTACCCGTTCTTCGATGCTCCTTCGCTTAAAAAAAAAACTATTTTCTTTATTCATTTTAACAAACTACAGTACGTAGAGATACTTTAAGCTGTGTCGATAGTAATACTGTTTACTGGACTCACTGAATTCATGTCAAAAGAAAAACTCAGACAACTTTCAAATATTCACGTTACTTTCATTACAGAATAAGAATTGAAGATCACAACACTAACTTTACCTCTCATTAAAGACAAAGTTTCAGATTACTAAAATTTTATAAATATAATTTTTTGCTTTAATAAAATTATTTGAAGATTTTTTTCTCCCAAAATGATTCGTTTGGGTATGGTGTTAAAATATTAATAAGTATATCTTCATCTCTGAATTCCTGTTTGATTTTGTATATATCAAGAATTTTTTTTTTAACATATACTGGTTTGAGAGATTTTACTTTATTCCCCGAGAATTTTCTAAAAAATAAATTCAAGAGTAGGGTTGGACAGAATGCCCAAAATCTGCAATAAAACTGATGCTTAACTGTTAAGGTAACATGTACATGACAGTTCCCGCTTCTGCTTAGTGGTATTGGTGAAGGTCAGCTAACATGTACAGTATGTCACTGTTTTACTTAGTGGTATGCTAACAAGAGAAAAAAAACTGAAAAAACTACTAATTAGAATCACACCCCACACTCCGCCTGTATATATTGTCATTTTAGTCACTCTGGAATAACTAATTTTTAAGGGAGTGGACCGGTAAGCCAGTGAAAGGCCTCAGTCAGATGACCAAAAGTTCCAGCTGCAGGTCGACTAAGATCCACGTCAGGAAACACTTGTCCTGTTACCTGACAAACCTACCTCTCTGTTAGAAGTGATTAAAGCGTCAGAAGAGAAACGCTTTTTAATTTTCTAATATTCGCAAACGTGTCTTTAAACCATTTTGTTTTATTACAACTATTCTCTTCTGAGACCGGGCTACGATTAGAGGACGGAGGATAGAACCTCCTTCACCCCTTGCTTTGAACAACTCCCGCCAATTTAACGTTTTAAGGGACACTCATGTTAACTAGATGTTTACAACTGTATAAGCAATGTTGACACTCGCGCTAGCTGGATGTTTCCATCTACATAATTAATGCTATTAACATAGTATAATGTGTTTATACAACTTGGAGGCAAATGCTATTGTCACCCATATCGATAACTTAAAAAATTGTTAAATTCATGGAGAAGCGCTAAAACAGCACTTCACACAACACTTGGGGGAATGGTTGGAAATCCAATTAGATCCAAGGAAAAGCATGGCATCGCCAGTTCCCCGGATCAAGAGCCCTTCAATGGCGGAGAATGCAACAATTGTGATTCTCTGGTAACTTTTCTGGCGCCCCACCACTAATCTACAAATCAACACTGATTGTTACACCATTAAACTTAAGACCAGTATTAATCATACATCACCTCACCACCACCAACAAAGATATATATTAACATAGTTTATGGGAAGCGCTAAAGAAGCGGATAACGTTCGATCAGCCGTCCAGTAAACAAAAGATACACGTTACGTTACTCCAATTCCCCTCATCAAAGCTCCTGTTTTATAAAGTGGATCCTTGTGGGCTTAGAGCTTAGTTGTGTGATTATTATAATAAAGTGAATCGGTTACATTAGATTTTGTTCTTTGGTTGCAACACTATTTGATAGTCATTTGTTTATGCAAATAGCTAAACCCGTGAGAGTCAGTGCAAGGAGTGGTAGAGGCTTGATTTGTATGTAAACACATACAAACACAAAAAGTGCAGGACTCACCACAGGAAGGATGGCTGCTGCAAGACTGGTACATTGCACCCTGGGGCAGCTCCAGCAGCGAGTCCCTGGAGGCATTGTGATATTGATGAGTCTTGCCTGGGGAAGAGGCGTGGCCCCGGCGTGCCCTGCACGTGACCACGCCCGCTACCACCACAGCCACGCCCACAACCACGCCCACCACCACGCCAGACACCACCACGCTGACGGGCGTGCCTCCGCTGTTCCTTGGTGTCTCCGTTGGTGGTGCAGGCTCCTCGCCATGGGTGTTCACTGCTTGAGGAAGGAAACGCACATTTCAACTGACAGGTTATAAATCTGCCCTTAATTTTCACGCACTAAATCTCAATCTTTCCCTCTCTCTCTCTCTCCCTCTCCCCGCCCCCAACTCCACTTTTCTCTATTCCCTATACTCTGTCCCCCTTTCTTTCTCAAGCACAATAAGCGTAAGACATGCAAGTGAATAAATTGATCAGTTAGCAGGAACTCATTTAAAATTAGGTCCTTTCTAAAATTCTTTTCTTATACGTTTAAAGATATATTTTTTTTATGTAATGTAAAAATTAATAATTTTGTACCAAAAGAACCTTAGAAAACTTAAAACTTACCTAACCTAATAACAAGCTCACTTTAATTTAGCCTAATCCAAATAAATATATTTTAGATAAATTTACAATAATTTAATAATCAAACAATGAAATATATATTTTTCGTTAGGTTCAGAATAATTTTTGCGAAATTGTTGCATACGCAAATATTCGCTTGCTTTATTCGGCAAGAAGAGAGCTGCTATTTAAGTCAAAATAGCAAGTTTTACCTATTCGGCACGTATATATATATATATATTATATATATATATATATATATATATATATATATATATATATATATTATATATATATATATATATATATATAACGTGCCGAATAGGCAGAACTTGCCATTTTGGCCTAAATAGCAACGCTCATCTTGCCATATAAGACGAGCGAGAATTTGTGTATGCAAAAATTTCGCCAAAATCATTCTAAACCTAACGAAAAAAATATATTTCATTGTGTTTGTTTAGTATTAAATTACCGTAAACGTTTTTAAAATATGTTTAGTAGGATTAGGCTAAAATAAATTGCGCTTGTTAGAATAAGGTTAGGTAAGTTTTCTAAGAGTCTTTTTGTGCAAAATTAAATTTTTTTACATTAACATCAATGAAAAAAATATATCTTTAAACGTATAAGAGAAAATTTTAGAAAGGACTTAATTTTAAATGAGTTCTTGCTAATTGACCAGTTTTACATATTTGGCACGACATATATATATATATATATATATATATATTTTTATATATATATATATATATATATATATATATATTATATATATATATATAATTATATACATATAATTATATACTCATGAAAGACATACCACGGGGGGGACGAAAATCTTCAGCTAAAGATCTTTCATACGTTTCAGTGCATTATCAGGAGCTATGCAACGTTTCAGAGCAGCAAGAGGTAGATTGAGAGGGAAGCTTTCTCAGAGGAAAGGTAGTGTGTTGACGCTGGCCTGTTCTCATTCCTCCTCCAGAGTGCAAAACACTGGACTTTCCACCTACAAGACTTAAGTCTGGCTAACCGGTTTCCCTAAATCACCTCATAAATGTTACGTTGTTCACACTCCACAACACGTCAGATCATGAAAACTGATTGCCTCCACTCCTAACACTTTCACAAAAGGCTGTTGTATGTCCATGCACCTAACACTCAAAACCACCTTCATCCCCCTAGCTCAAAGCTTTTCTCCTTCCCAGAGTTATACGTCAAAGTCATTATTTTTCTCTCTCCTCTATAAATGCCCAAACCACCTCAATAGCCCCTCCACAGTTCTCTGAAAAACACTTTTATTGACCCCACACCTTTGTGGATAAGTTCAACCTATGCTATTTTTTCCCGTGAAATTCAGAATGGGAGGGATGTAGCTCCAGATGCGGTCATTGAGAGTAGACAGAAAATACAATGCCTACATTCGAAGATGCCACATTCTTCTACCAACTGTAAATTATAAGCCTAATTTAGTGATGAAGTCTCTATAGACTAATATCCCATTCGACGTCTTGTGTATTTAAGCTAAGAATCAGAGTAATTTAGTTTAGTATCTACGATTACTTTTATCTCATCCTACACAAATTGACAAATGTGCCAGCTACCAGGGCACTCGGCCTACCCACGCCAGTCACCGAAAATCACGTGTATGAGGAGGGAAGGTGACCGAACCTCCCCTAATCACGCCGGTCTACTCTTATGTAAAAGTTAAGTTAAAGAGAGCGACTTACCCTACACTAGTGCAGCGAAGAACACTAACATTCGTTAATTACCCTTACAACGTGAATTAGACTACTCTTCACTGCTATATTACGTAACGACTGCACAGCTTCTGTCCTACACAAAAGCGGGATTCAGATCAGTGTATACCGTATCTACGGTGTCCTGCTAAGCTAAGACTAAAACCCCCACACCTCACGACATTAAGTGCTTGTTAACAGTACTATTGATGCGCATTTGTATGCATGTTACGGGCACTGGCTTCATGTCAGGGGTCTTCCCCTGACCTTCAATTATCATAGTACGGGGGCACTGCACCACTACACTCCCCTGAGTGGAATCAGGGTAAAAAACCCCATTTTCTGGAAATTTTTGGGTTTGGCAGGTTTCCTGGACAGGAATCACCTTTGACTTGTTTTGGATTACAAAATGTTAATCATACACCCTCTTTTACTAAGCTCTTCCTATCCCCAGACCCCGAATTCTTGCAAAAAATTTAAAAAACCAACATTGCCCATCAAGCACATCCCCACTGGGCTTAAATCCATGTCCTATATTAGTGTAGGTACCAATACTCCGGTACACTCCCCTTTTGTCCCCATAGAGGTTAAAAAACCCACTCTTTTTTACCTTGTGTTAGGTTCACTTATCCCCCACAAAAACCTCCACCCAAGCCCCTTCCCAATTATCTGTACTTTTTACTTCTCTTTTCTTTTTCCCAGTCTAATATCCAGCCCCTCATTGTCTATATTTTTGTAATCACCACCTTGTCTTTCCTATGTTTATTTTTAAATTTTCCCTACTTTTGACACCCCCCCCAAATTGTTTACCAACGTTTGCAGCTTCCCCTCCGCTTTTCCCCAAGCGAGCTTTTGTCACAGGCAAAAAAAATTTTTTAATTTTTGAAATTTACACCGTTTCCCTCGAAGTTTAAAAAAAAACCCGTCCTAGTGAACTTTCACCTAAAAAAACCTCAAGAAAAATGACACACCCCCTCTCACAACAAAAAAAGGGGGGAATAACTCAAGTTGACGGGCTCTCTAGGGGACCTGTTCGCCCTTTGGGGTGTGAGTTTCATGAGTGGTGGTTCGCTGACCACCCCCCTTGGGTGGCGGCAAACTTTTTACAACATTGTCTCTCCCCCCGGACCCGCGAGGTGATGTTGAACCTTGGCTTGTGTTGTTTTTTGGCGCTCCACCGTGGGCCCTTTACGCCCTGTAACACCCGTGTTAGTGCTCTTGTGACACCTGAGTGCTGTTTACACCCGTAGTTATTGCTTGGGCGCTTTTAGTATTCTGTGATACCTATAACCCTGTGTTTGTGCCCCTTTTTAAACCTCTTGTGCTGAGTGTCTGTGACATCTTTTAAAGCAGAAGATACAATTTAAATGATTCGCCTGCAATAAACCCTTTTGAAAATAAAGGAACTAAGACAAAATTTAAAGTGAAAAATCCCAAAAAAATGTTATGTTAGGTATACAAAAATAAAATAAATAAATTCCTCAATATGATATGTTGCTTCAGTTTACCTGAGGTGACCCGGGGGGAGCAGGGACCCCGGCTGAGTCATTGGGACGTCATGGATGGCGCCAATCGTTCACTCGGCTCGTCTAGGGGGAAAGGGGGGCGGGTCAATAAAAACCCCCGTTTATTTTTGGCGGAAACTACTTATCCACTCGTTTATTTGGGTTGAATATATGCACATGTACACGTGTCGCCACGCACACAACGGCGCGCACGCCGCACGCACACACACCACACACACACACACACACACACACACACAACACACACACACAAACAACACACACAAAGGTTTGCAAACAAACTAGTCCCCGAGCTACGGGGGTTGTCTACGAAGAAAGGGGTTTAGGGAAATCGGCCCCCGACGAAATGGAGGAAGGAGGGTCAGGGGAGGACATGATAACGACTATAAAATACTGCGCAGAAAAGACAAGGTGGACAAAAAGGGTGTTTCCGAGATGGGACACAGGCACAAAAGGGCACAATTGGAAAATTGAAGACTCAGGAATCAAAGGGATGTTAAAAGTATTTCTTCAGTATAGGTGGTTAGGCCGTGGAATGGGCGTGAAAATGAAGTAGTGGAGGCGGGGGAACCATACATGTTTTTAAAGGCGAGGTTGATAGAGCTCCCGGGGCAGGGAAGAGAGAGGGGGCCTATTAGCAATCGTGAAGAGGCGGGGCCAGGAGCTATGAAACGACCCCTTTTCAACCCCAAATAGATGGTAACACACACACAACACACACCACACCCCCCCACACACGTCGCACCACACAAACACACACAACACACACACACACACACACCAACAACCCGACGCACACACACACCAATAGAACAATATGAAAAAATGACAATTAAAATGACTAGCATCAAAAGTAAAAAACTGACCCGAAGTGTTGTACAGCCACAAGGAGGAAAACAAAAGTCAAGGCCGGTAATCGACTGAGGAAAAGGGGGGGTGGGGAATTCAAAAAAGAAAACGACCGAGAGGTATGTGGGCTCAAACAAGATTTAAAGAGGTATTTACAGGGAAACCCCGTAGGACTCCCAAAAAAAATCAAAACAGGGGGGCCACAGCAAGGTGGATGAGGGGGACATATAACCAAGGGGAGGTGGAAGAAGCTGTATGCGAACTTGACACCTCAAAGGCGGTGGGACCCGACAACATCTCTCCATGGGTCCTTAAAGAGGGAGCAGAGATATTGTGTGAGCCATTAACAAAGATCTTCAACACATCATTTGAAACTGGGCAACTCCCTGAGGTATGGAAAATGGCAAATGTAGTCCCAATTTTTAAAAAGGGAGACAGACATGAGGCACTAAACTACAGACCTGTATCACTAACGTGTATAGTATGCAAGGTCATGGAGAAGATCATCAGGAGGAGAGTGGTGGGGCACCTGGAAAGAAACAAGTGTATAATTGACAACCAGCACGGTTTCAGGAAGGAAAATCCTGTGTCACAAACCTACTAGAGTTTTATGACAGGTGACAGAAGTAAGACAAGAGAGAGAGGGGTGGATCGACTGCGTATTTTTGGACTGCAAGAAGGCTTTCGACACAGTTCCTCACAAGAGGTTCTGTAAAAGCTAGAGGACCAGCACACATAACAGGAAAGGCACTGCAATGGATCAGAGAATATCTGACAGGGAGGCAACAACGAGTCATGGTACGCGACGAGGTGTCTCAGTGGGCGCCTGTGACAAGCGGGGTTCCACAGGGGTCAGTCCTAGGATCTGTGCTGTTCTTGGTATATGGTGACGACCCTAAAAGGAAGGGTATAGACTCAGAAGTGTCTTGTTTGCAGACGATGTGAAGTTAATGAGAAGAATCGATCGGACGAGGATCAGGAGGGACTAAAAGAGCCCCTGGAAGGCTACAAGCCTGGTCCAGCAACTGGCCCCTTGAATTTAAACCCCTGCCAAATGCAAAGTCATGAAGTTGGGGGAAAGGGGCAAAAAAGACCGCGACAAAATATTTTTTAGTGGCCAAAGACTGCAAACCCTCATCAAGGAAAAAGATTGGGGGTGAGTTAACACGAGCATATCCCCTGAGGGCACATCAATAGATAAGCTGCAGCAAGGGCCCCCCGGGAAAAACCTACGGATGGTTCGATACCCAGTAAGGTTTTTTTAAGACTTGTCCCCTTACGTCAGGCCCATATGGGTATGCGCCCCATTTGGGGAATCCACACCTAGTCAACACGCAAGAAATTAGAGAAAGTAAAAAGGTTTCCCAACAAATAGCCCCCAAGGCTAGGGGGATTGTCCTATGAAAAAAAAGGTTGGGGGGAAATCGGCCTGACGACATGGAGGCCGGAGGGTAGGGGAGAATGATAACGAATTAAAATATTGCGGGAAATAGACGAGGTGGAAAAAGACGGGATTTTCCCAGAAGGGGACACAGACAAAAGGGTCACAATTGGAAGTTGAAGACTCAGATAAATAAAAGGGGATGTTGGAAAAGTATTTCTTCAGTTAGGTAGTGGCCGGGGAAAGCCTAGAAAGTGATGTGGTGGAGGCGGGAACCATACTATTTTTAAAAGGGGGGTTGATAGAGCCATGGGAGGGGGAGAGGGGCCCTTTAGTAGCAATCAGCGAAGAGGGGGGGCCAGGAGGTGGACTGCCCCTGCAACCAAAAATTGGTGAGTAAAAATGGGTGAATACAGCCCACAGTATCTTAAACGGGCCCTTTTGTGTCTGTGACAGTGCCTAGGACAAAATGGTAACTAACACCCACACGAGCAGAACGCCCCTGCAACCACAAATGGTGAGTACCACCACATGCCCCCTGTTTGGAACCCCACATAGCCAAGCACGAAAGGAAACTGGGAAAAAGTGCTAAATTTTCCCAACTAGACTGGTCCCGGAGCAAAGGGGTATGTCCCACAGGTTAAGGGAAAAAATGACCTGACGACACTCGAGGAGGGAGAGGTAGGGGGGAATGATAACGAATACAAAATCTGAAGGGAATCGACAGGTGGACAAAAAACGGATTTTCAGAGATGGGACACAGCAAAAAGGGGTCACAGTTGGAGTTGAGATCGATGAATCACAGGGATGTTGGGAAGTATTTCTTCAGTTACAGAGTTGTCGGGAAGGGAAAGGTGGGGAAAAATGATGTAGTGGAGGGAGGATCCTAATAGTTTATGTTGATTAAGTCATGGAGCGGGAAAAAAAAAAAAATGACCTAGCAGGGCCGCGAAGGGGGGGTTGGGGGGCCAAGAGTTTTGAAAAAGCCCTGCAAAACCCAAGTAGGTGGGAACTAGGGGGAATACAAAGTAGCGATTAGCGAAGGGGGCGAGGGTCAGGAGCGGGACTGACCTGAACCACATATAGGGGAGTATTAAAGGGAGTACACGTGTACAAAACACACACACACACACACCACACACACAACATCCACACACACCAACACACACGAAGTACGTTAGTAACGCCGACTCGTACACCCCCAAACACAGTACATTAAGAGTTTTTAAAAAAAAAAACGCGCAGATATAACATGACTGGATTAAGTTAAAGTTCCATAAACATGAAACGATGAAAAAAACAAAATAACACAGGTAAGATTTTTTTAAAATTTTAGCTCAGATAGGGAAAAGGGGGTTTTGAAGGGGAACCTGTTTTACCTGCGGTTTTTTAGTTTTTTTGCGAAAGGGACTTCTTGTTTTCAAATACCCCAAATTAGCAAAAAACCCTCCCCTAACACACGCTGCTCAACGTACTTAAGGGAGCGGAGTTTCCTGTTTAACATGCTAATTTTTCCCCATTATTACCCTTTCCATAATTACTATCGTATTTACTTTTTCTTTGTAAGGGGAAGTCCAGGATCTTTCCTTAAAATTTACGGTTTTTTGACTTAACAAATCTTTGAGGACAGTTGTCCATAATTACGATAGCAATTATGGACAAGGTAGATTATAGGGAAAATGAACATGTTTTTAGAAGATAGGGGAAATTAAGTACTCCTTACGGTCAAGAATCACCGATAACAACACTAGTGCGTTGGAAATGATAATCAGGAAGAGTCTGATTAAGACATCGGGAAAAGGATAGAAATTTAACCTACCAGTCTACTAGAAATCTCCCAGCCTACTAGAAATCTCCCAGCCTACTGGAAATCTACAACAGAACCACGAAGATAAACTAAAATTAATGGTTTGATGGCAGTATACTTCTGGATTTTATATACTATTATAATCAAAACTAAAAGCTAAACCTCCAGGGGTTTTCAGCTTTATAAAAGGGTTATTTTTTGTTTTAGTTTTTCTTCCCTTTTGGGGGGGCTAAAGAAAAAAAAAAAAAAATAAATTATTGATCACGAACTTCGAAAAAAACAAGAAAGAATATGTGGTGTTTCAGAATGGAGAGAATATGAAGGGGTTCCCCCGACGATCGGTACCCTACTATTTCTGATATAAATGACCCCCACCGGGGGGACTGACTTTTTGTTTACGACTGTTTGCAGATGATGTTCAGTTTCTGAAATAAATACGAAGGGTGGAGAACAAAGGCTTTGTATAGGAAGACTTGCAAGAGAACAAACATGCAGATGCTGAACAAAATATTGGATGCACTGCAAAGGAATGGCTTCTGTAGTTATATTCGGTCACAATGGAGAGAGAGATCGCTTTTCCCTGAATTTAAAAAAAAAATAGCTTTTCATGGAATTCCTCGTGAAAGACTAATAATGTAGTAATAGTTAAGATATTGTTGATGTATATTTTACTTTTGTTCACAGTGCTTTTTTCCTTTTGTTGATTCCTTCCCTTATTCTCATAGGGCTTTATGACCCATACGGGTTTTAGCTCACATTTTGTTAGTCTTCGTTGGGTAATGTGGTCTTATAAGGCTCACTCCCTCCTCTGCCTCTCACTGGATGTTCCTTGATATTCGTGACGGGCTCTTGATGCCAGGAATTAGACTTGGAATACATTATAAGTGAAACATTCAATACGGACAAGTTGACGGACGAGGGATTGATCACCTTAAAATTACATCTTTCTCTTTCCAGGGTTACAATTGATTGTATTACAGTAAAAAATTAATGTTGGTAAAATTACCAACAACGTTTCGCTCTCCA